AAACTGATAGTTGTTATATTTTGCTGTCGTTCGAGACGGAAGATAAACACGCTAAAAGCTATCGTTTTTCATAAAATGTATCCCACGTGTGAATCATGAATTGTACATTTTGAATTTGAAAAAAACTCAATTAAGTGCTCCTTAATTAATAGTGTATTTTTTTCCTCGTTCAGATCTTCCAAAAATAATTCGTCTACTTCTTAATATAGAATCCGATTTATCGCTACTCGTTGACACTTGTAAGAAGAAATATTATAAGAAAAGATAGTATTGCTCGTCCAAGCAGTTAATCGCCCCGTATAAATAACTGTAAGTCATACGTTTGAAAAGGGGACTAGTATTTTTATTGCCCTCTTCGCATGTATAATATTATTTCACATCTAAATAAACCCTCTCCGACTTTCTCAGTCCCCTCACCTACCATGTAAACGTCATTTTATAAGAATAATTAATAGGTATTACATTACTAGTTATGCAGATAATATAACGGAACATATTTTTTACCATTATAAGTTTTTTTCATCATACTTGTAAAGTTTAACAATTTTTTTGGTGCCAAAACCTACTGTAATTACACATGACCAAAGATACGTTTGAAAATATAACAAAATATGTTACATTACGATTTTTTTTTGCTCAAGTGAAAGCTGTCCAATTCGTTTTTGTAACTGATGAATTGTTTTCCAAGGCGTTTTTGTTGTACAGCTGCAGGCACACCTACCACGTGGCCTTCTTTCCGTTGACCATTAATATTTTATTACTATTATTATCATAATATTAATACAATAAAAAAATTCGTATAGGATTATTCAAAAATTTCAGCCGTACCTATAAAGACGCAACACAAGTACAATAGCGTTGACATGCATATTCAAAACGCGATCCCGCCACCTCATCTTCGTTGATACCATGCGCACCTTATTATTTTCCTCTTCCTTCCGGCCGCCGTTGCCACCGCTATGTTGGCCGACGTTATCGACAGGGTGATACCTGGCCGACGGCGGTCGCAGTATCTGCATCAGGTAGACGTGGAACGAGCTCCGGTCAGACCGCCGCGGTCGTCTCCGTCGGTCGGACGGCCTCACAGTTATCACGGCGGCAATAGGGTCGACGTACAAGACGAAGGGCTGTTAAGAGCCAGTGGACGAAAGTTGGCCGCCAAATTTTTGGCGTCCAAAACGGCAGTTGCAGACACCATTGAGGCGGCCGCGGCTGCCGTAACCGCCCGAAAACCTCGGCCGCCGCAGCGTAGACGGCGGGCCGTTGAGTCGTCCAGTAACGGCGGTTTTTCGAACGTGTCGCACACTTGGCGCTTCAAACGTCTCAGTTGCATCAGGTAACAGCAAAACTATATTTTGGCTCAATTAAACCGTTTTAATACATTTCTCCAAGTATCGACGCAAAACTACCAACGTAACGACTGTGACGCCGTTGTTATAAATAGAACATTTTAATATTATATTGATATCATAAGATTAGATTGACTAATGTTGGCCGTCCACCAAAATGACAAATTTTATACCTAGTCTTTATAGTTAAATTGTATAGTATTAATTTTCTTTGTTAGGTAAGCAATATTTAATTAGCCAAAAGTTATTATCGAAAATCGTTGTACTGTTAAAAACGACTTTAATCTCATTGATTCGTGTGATAATTTTAAACACGTAACAAATGTTTTATTGCAACAGACTAATAGTTGTTAAACGATTTAATATGCCAGAGTTTTTCAAACGGGGGTTTTATTTTATGTTAGGTTAAATTACACGAATTGTTTTCAGTAGCCGGGTGTATTGTTAACAATTCAATTTCCGATTATGCTATCACGGTAAATCAACCGAAACGTTTACGTTAATGTGATGTACACGGACTGTAAAATAATCAATTTTGTCCAGCACTGCGACACCAACACATGAGTTAAAAAAATAACCTCGTTGTGGTGATGTTCGGCGCTCAACCGATTACTAAGCTTTTAGAAGGCTCACCGATTGCAATAAAAGTCATTGTAGGCGATGGTGTATTTATTTTTGTTTTCGCAGTATATCATTGTTAATATTTATTTTGTATGCATTTTATGCTCCGTCGTGCCCCAAAGCGAAAACCGGCTAGCCGTTACGTCATTATCCGCGCGCGACCTCCAAAGACAGAAAAGGTGTGTGTTGGTTGTTACTAACATCCAAACAGTCTCTAATGGCCAAGTGGGCGACTTTCCTTTGCCCCCTTGCTCGGCTTTAACTCCGTGCCAATGACACGAACTACACGTTTTTCGCGTCAACCGTTATCGATAAGTAAGCTGTGTGAACGACTGTTGGATTATTTTCATGTACGAGCTTCGAACGAAATCTGTACCGTTGCAATTAAGATCCGTAACGACGACTGTCCATAACCGACTGGGTGTTAGGATTTCCAACGCGTAATAGAACTTTAACGACCAACACTCATTGCCTGCCGGTCGAGTCCAGTGCACAACTATTAATTACATTCGTAGACCATAATTAGCTCGGTTTGAAACTATTAGTCGTTCGATCGAAAATGTAATCGTTGTTATTATTCCACTAGTGTTTACACCAACTCTACGGCTGTTATCTAAATAAAACCTTACCGAAATAAAGTCTATGAAACCGATACAAACGACCGACGATCAAAAAAATGTTTAAAAAACAAGTAAACCTAGTCGGGTGCATGTGTCGGTCAAACAAACAAATAACGGTTCCTGCCCTCCATAGAATCCGTACACAAATAAACTTAACAAATGCAGACTATTCGTGTACGATCTGTTGTCTAAGCAAAAACGTTTTGAACCGCGTCAAAAAACGAAAAAGTTCCTTCAAAATGAACCATTTGACTGCATGTCAAAATATATCGAAATGATGATGGCCAAGCCACTTAACTCATCACATTTTCAGTTGTAAGTGACGTCTAACAGATTACAATTATCTCAACTAGATAAAAAAATTATATGATCACTTTAACTTACTTAGATGGACTTGGACGTTATCTTTACTCATCCACACTGACCGTCACTACCTCTTAGCCGCAATCTTAAAATTATTATCGACTTCCTAGTGGCACGGCCGAGACGATGGCGCCTCGGGATTATATAAAACGGACCTATTTCACATCTCGAGATTAGATTTTTTTTTCGATACTCAAATATTACCGTCGTGAACTTGCAACTACAACGAGACTGTCTACTCGTAATGATCATGTTTATTTTACAAACCATAAGCAAATTAATGAAATTCGATCGGGGGGTGTTCTCTGTTCGTGTGCGTTTGTGCACGTGATAATGCGTACTAATTATCATTACTCGTCGAAATATATTCCAATAATAACATCGGCGAGTTGTTGATTCAATTAGGAACGATTCAGGTTACACCGACTTAATGGACATGTTCACTCGGCTCGATTGGTCTTAAAAGTATTTTAATAACCATATTTAACAACAACATCAACAATACTATTCGTTTGTTGTGATTGCGTTGGAAGTCGGCGGTGTCGACTCATACTGTGAAGGTCCTCTGGCCGTAAACATTTTGACTTGGCCGAATAAGGCAGTGTGCGCGACATGTTATATTATTATCTCTTCTAACCCGTGTACGCACATTTTATGTTAATTAAACTGTGTATTTTTAATGCGAGTACATGGTCGTAACGGTGTGGATCCCAACGGTTGAATCACATAGCGCCGGCGGGCTATCGCTAGTGATTTATTTTTTCTGTGCTGTATTTATGTGTGTCAGCACATGAACATTATATGCATAATCAATGCACTGACCTATGAACTACAGCAGGCCGGTTTTTAAGTTATTNCCGATTGGTCTTAAAAGTATTTTAATAACCATATTTAACAACAACATCAACAATACTGTTCGTTTGTTGTGATTGCGTTGGAAGTCGGCGGTGTCGACTCATACCGTGAAGGTCCTCTCGCCGTAAACATTTTGACTTGGCCGAATAAGGCAGTGTGCGCGACATGTTATATTATTATCTCTTCTATCCCGTGTACGCACATTTTATGTTAATTAAACTGTGTATTTTTAATGCGAGTACATGGTCGTAACGGTGTGGATCCCAACGGTTGAATCACATGGCCCGCCGGCGGGCATATCGCTGGTGATTTATTTTTTCTGTGCTGTATTTATGTGTGTCAGCACANGGCCCGCCGGCGGGCATATCGCTGGTGATTTATTTTTTCTGTGCTGTATTTATGTGTGTCAGCACATGAACATTATATGCATAATCAATGCACTGACCTATGAAC